AAGTCCCATAAGGTTGATGGAAGATAGTATTGAAAATCCGTTTGCTTCCCAAGGCTTTCTTAACTCTGGTTCCAGGCATGTGACCTGTTGATACTGTCTAACTTTGATTCTTCCAAAGAAGTTCTTCATCCTTCTAGTAAACTCCATAGTTGGTTCTTAATCTTATCTGTGTGGGATTATTCCTTTTGACCAGCTACATAGGTGCCGTTGGCTCCCCACATCTCTAGCCATTGCTACAAGAGGGCCAGCAATGAGCTATACTGCAACATCTGACCTGGAATATTTTTTGTGACGATCTTGGCATGACAGTGCCAAAGAAAGGAACAGACTGTACACCAGGAGGCTCTGTGGTGGTATTCAAAGGGGGCAGCAACAGGCCTGCATGAACGCTTTGATCTGGGGCTTGTGGCTAGTGGACAGGTTCACTTGGTGGTGAGAACGGTTGTTTCCAGGTTTCCCAGAGTGCACCACTCTTTGGGGGAACAGACTCAGAGGTCAGCCACCAGGCCATTGTCTGTGCTGCTTAGAGCAGTGGACGCCACCCCCTCACCGAGGGCATTCACTGTGACCAGCACTGCTTGTCCCTGTGTGCCCCGTCTGTGATACTGTGGGCTGTTCAGGTTCTATTTTCTGTTGGTTAGGCAATACTTGTTTAGAATTAAGCTAAAAGATAAAACCAGAGAAGCATTCCTTGCAATACCCTGACCCTACTCCTGAAAGTGTTAAATCTTAATGCCAGCCTAGCCTCCCTCCCGTGTCAAAGACCCAAATGTTCTCCTGACTTCATCCCATTTGCTCTGTGCATTTTCAATAGCACAGACCTATGCTGCAGCTCATTTCACTGAGAAGTGTTAGTTTTTTCTACTTATTTATTGAATTCTTGCTATGCGCAAGGCAGTTCTACATAAAAATGGTACGTGTAATTCTGCATGTTGTCTCATGTGTTGGGTAACTGTCATATAACCAATACAGTCATTTGGGGTTGGCAATTCTGAGAATGTATTTATTCAAAAGAATATTCAAAGTTCTGGGTTATAAAGATATCTGTGTCAGTCTTTAAAATGTCTACTTCTTTGCTTTTTGCTTTTGGTTTGGGCCAGGCAATGATAGGTTGAAAGCAAAGTGTATATCTCTGAACAGTGTGCTTATTCATTTAAAAACACATTGAGACTTGTGATGTACTGCACATGGTGGCCATCGTGAGCAGGAGTTAGCCAGCACCCCTGACAGAGTTCTTGGGTGGGACTTTTTGAGGCTCAGGAGCTTTACATTTTGCATTAGAGGAATTTGTGACATCCTCAGGTATTTCCCGCAGCTGTCCCTTGGGACGGCAAACATCGGATAGGAACTTGTTCACGAGTACAACTGTTCCTCTGAATCAGTGGGGAGCTTGGTTCTGGGACCGCCTTGGACACCCAGATCCTTATACTCAAGTTCCTTCTTTGAAATTGTGTGGCATTTGCATATGCCCTACACACATCTCCTGGAACACTTCAAAACATCCCAAGATTATTTAATATCTAGTGTAGATGCTATCTGAATAGCCTATTCTGCTTAGAGAGTAATACAAAATCTGTATATGCCCAGTACCAAAACAACTCCCCTGCTCCAGGTATTTACAATCTGTGGTTGGTTAAATTCTTGTGCAGAACCCCTGGATAGAAAGGACTAGATGATTTCACACTCCTTTGTAGGTGAGCATTTGTGGCCTAAGACTCTCCTTAGCTTTTCCTGCTTCCTCACACATTAAGGCTTCCCAGCCTCCTGCAGCTGCTGTCTGTGCAGGAGAGCATCCCTGGAGCCCCAGGATAGGCAGTGGGACAATGGTACCCTGTCAACTGTATTTTAATAAAACACTAATTGGCCAGTAGCCAGGCAGGAAGTAGAGGCGGAACAACCAGGCAGGAAATAGAGGCCAATGAGAACAGGAGAATTCTAGGAAGAAGACTCAGTCTGCAGTCGTGACTCAGCTGTAGAGGATGCAGATGAGAATGCCTCGCTGATGGAAGGTACCAAGCCACATGGCTAACACAAACAAGAATTATGGGTTAAGATGTAAGAAAGAGTTAGTAAGAAGCCTGAGCAAATAGGCCAACCAGTTTATAATTGATGTAGACCTCTGTGTGTTTCTTTGGTACTGAATGACTGCAGGACCGGGCGGGACAGAAATCTCAGTCAACCGTTCACTGATACTGATGCTCTTGTCTGTCCTTTGTGGCTAAAACACAGGCACCAAGTCAAACACCTAGGAAGCTCTCCTCAGGAGCATGGAGGCTAAAAGATGACATCACTGTCAAGGGAGAGCTGGCATCGTATCTGGGCCTGGCAGATACATTATGGGTTAGAACAAAGAAGCCTCTGGTTGTCTCCTATGAACCAAGCTTCCCTTGCAGTGGATTTGTGGGGGTATATGTGTAACAGGAGATAGAGAAGATGAACATCTACGAAGAGGTGGAAGGACATGGCGAAGATGGGAAGCAAGAATGGGGTACAGCGTGGCCTAGACAGCTTCAACAGCAGTAGAAAATCAGTAGTAGATCTGTATACGACTCCCAGCGGATCATGTCGAAATGGGTCTGAAAGGCACGAATGATCACCGGGTGAACTCAGGGAAAACCCAGTACCCCTGCACTCAGTGGACTTGAATCATTTAATTAACCTTTATGAATATGACTCTTGGATAAAGATGACTCAGTTGCTCTATTGTTGGACAGAAGTGAACCCTGTCCACTGTATATATGCTGCTTCCTTCACACCCATGAAGTCTAATATGTATAAAGTGCTAGGAGGTTTATAATAGAGCAACTAGCATATTATACTGTAAGATGTATGTAAATGTGGTCTCTTTCATTATTTTAATCGGTGTAGATGTGTAAATCTGTGTGCGGGAGCAAGCGTGTGGGAGCAGAAGCCCATAGGAAGATGCCAGCTTCTCTGGGGCTGGGAACCAAATTCAGGTCATCCAGAAGAACAATCACTACCTCTCTTAACCACTGAGCTCTTTCCAGTCCCTCTCAACATACTGTACCAGCCTCTTCCTTGTGATGTGGGATGCTAAACTGCCTCTATGAGATGAAAGCGAATGCTGCAGGCACTGGGATACAGTGTTAGGTTACTACTGACCACATGATCATTTTGAGGACCATTGTGAAGCCATGGCAAGGCTAACTGACCACCCCTAGCTGAAATCACAGTAGGATCTCCAAAGGAGAGGTTCAACCACAATTCCATAGAGGTGTGGTGAGAAAGACCCAGCACTGTTGCCTGGCAACGAGAAGCAAGCAACCTTGGTTGCATCTCCTGCACCTGGTCCCTGTGCTGAAGACAAGGCAGTCAAGGAAGTTCTGTGAGTGAGAGGTGACTAGGCTGGAGCAAGCAATAGGTATCTGTGCTGGCTGGTTCTGTGTGTCACCTTGACACAAGCAGAGCCTCAGAGAGGAAGGAGCATCAGTTGAGGAAACGCCTTCATGAGATCCAGCTGGAAGGCATTTTCTCAATTAGTGATCATTGGGGGAAGAGTCCAGCCATGGTGCATGGTGCCATGCCCGTGCTGCTAGTCTGGGGTTCTATGAGCAAGCCAGGGGAAGCAGGTCAGTAAGTAGCACCCCTCCATGGCCTCTGCATCCACTCCTGTTTGGCCTCTGGGATCCTGCCCTGTTTGAGTTCCTGCCCTGACTTCCTTTGGGGATGAACAGCAATGTGGAGAGTAAGCTGAATAAACGTTTACTCCTCAAATTGCTTTTTGGTCCTGGTGTTTTCACTGCAGCAATAGACAAAAGTATCCCTAAGATAGCATCCAACTGCATCCACTAATCCCCCACTCAGCAGGCAGATACGAAACCTGGCCACATACAGCTCATCCTATTAATGCCATGAACACTAACCACCACACCCCAATGCACATGTGCTATTTAACTAGGCAGGACATTTTTATTTTAGAGGGAACTATACAAAGTTGAATTGAGAAGATTCTGGTATTTGACGCGAGTCATCCTGAGTATGGCAGAGTATTTTGGCGTCCATCTGTTGATGTATACCTGGGCATGTGGTGTTTCAGGAAACCCCCATTTTACTCATTTGTCTGAGGCTAAAGCAAGGGCACTAAGTCAGCTGCTCAGGACCAGTAGTGCACACTCCTCACTCTCTCGGGCTGGCTGGACTAGAAAGGGACATTGCTTAAACCAGGCCCATCAACTTTATGATCATCCTAATACGTGAAAATTTAAGTATTAAAGAGCGCAGTAGTTAGTTCATCTAGCCATAGGCAAAACTCCCATCTCTGGGCAAACTGGCTTCCAAAGTGCATTACATTGCTGCACACGTGTATCTGGCTCTTGGAGGTGGACACAGTCAGTTCTCATGGGCAAGAAATCTGTTCAGTGGAGACTTAGCATCGGTACGGACATGGGGCACGGTTTTCTTAGCACAGGGTCAGAAACAGGTGAGCAGCTGTTGGTCTGGGCAGTGGTTCAGTGTGTAGGCAGGAGGGCTGAGCATGGGAGTGGCCTTGACGGCGAACGGCTGATAGAATGAAGGTACACCTTTGCTTTTAAACAGTTGTTACAATTCTAGGCTAAATCCCAAACGTCCTATTGAATTTGGATGTGCGTCACATGCTTGTGTGTTTCAATGCTAAACCGTTAGCTGGTGGCCCTGTTCTGGGAAGCGAGGTTTGGGAAGGACAGCATCGAGCTGCAGGCAGTGGGCCCCTGGTTTTAGGGAGGAGACTGGCTCTGATTTTGACTGGAGGATCTGATTTCTGGTTTACGAAGCTGTAACTAGCTGTGCTGCAGTTTAGTTATGTCATGGAAACGAAACTGCAGCCTCCACGCCCCCTACCATGATGGATTAGAGCCCCATAAACCATGAGCCAAAAAGCCCCTCCGTCTCTCCCTCCCTCACGTTGTTGCAGACATTCTGCCGCAATATCGATCAAGTAAGCAACACACTGACGACTCTAGAAATAAATGGTAAGCCTTGCATAAATAAATGGCTCCAAATAGAAGCAGATACACAAAAATTTTTATTAAGTGGAAGTTAGACTTACTTCGTGGTAATTAACCAGTTACAAGTGCATCTAAATTCATGTGTGTGGACACCATAGAAATCAGAAGGGTCTTACTGAAAGACCCGCATTCTGGCTTGGTTTGTGCCAGTGCAAGCCAAGGGTAGAACCATACAGAGTCAGTACAGGTTGACGATGACGTCAGACAAGATTGGCAACACCATAGTAATTGTTACAGCTAAGCATTACAGAACATGAAAGTCCAAAGACCAGAAGACTATTTCTAAAGGGTTCTTACTCTACACCTTCCCTTCTACCACATGCTTTGAGGACCACCCAGCAAGTCCTCCTCTCTGGGGGACACATAAACGGGCCAGCATACTCTAAATGTGTGCTGGTCCTCTGGATGCCCTCTGTAAGTGGACAGCAGCCATCCCCTTGGGAAAGTGCAGTTTAACTGGTGTGAACATTTTCTTTTGTAAATCGTGAAGCTGAAAAAATTTCTTCTTTTCCAATTAGCACCAGTTTATTTTAAAATATTTTTTCCTGGTGTTAAATCTTAGGAAACATTTTGTAAAAGACAAAGTCCAGAACAATAAAGGACAAAAAAATGAAAAAAAAATGTGTTAGAGAACAGCATTTAGAAAAACAACATCATTGAAACATTTGACAAATTTATGTACAGTGGGCCAAAAGCTGGCAAGGAGCATGGCTGAGGAACAGTCTCAGAAAATGTCTCTCTCCACCTGAACCTCTGCAGGCGGTACTTACAGATAGAAACAGAGTATCGGAACATCTGGATTTGGCTAAAAATCATATAAAAAGACAGGCCACCCCTCCCCCACTAACTTCTAATAAGGTAGCAAACATAACCAGCACGACCTAAGTACCGGGTTTAGAAGTGTGTTTTCCCATACTTTACAAACAGCCTAGAAAGCTCAGCAGACACAGAAGAGAACCGGAGCAGCAGAGAAACGGAGTGCGTCCTCCTTGTCAGCAGGAGGATGGCGTAAGCGCTGAAGAGGGAAGACCCTTATCAGAGGGAACATCTCATGAAAACGACTGTCAGCAGGAGGCTGAGGAAATTCGGGTATATTCTATACAGAGTTTTCAAAATATAAGTGATCATCTCTGTGTAATTTTGAAAAAAATCGACTTGTCAGATAGTATTTTTATATTTTGTTTTTTAAACTATAGCCTAAACTCTTTAAAGAATACTCCTACCCCTGGTTGGGTGGAGAGTTAAGCACAACAGACAGACCTTTCTACAGTTTCGTTGGTCACTTCTTCCTATTTCCCAGTGTTGGGGACTGAAGCCAGGCCCTCACATGAGCCAGGCCAGTGCTCTGCCCCAGCCCCATCCCTGGCCCTCATCCACCTGTTGATCCATGTGACTACAGCACCAGTCTCTGAGGACTCGGCAGTCTGTGAGTGCCGCACGGGCAGTGCATCCTCATCTCCTGTACTGGCTAGATTTTGTTTTTTTTTTTTTTTGCTTTTTCTGAGTCTGGGGCTCAGATGAAAGTCTGGATGCATTGTCTTTGAAACCATCGGACAAGAAAACAAAGGCACCCCACACCCTTATGAAGATTTGTATTTTCATTTATTTTGAATAATCTGTAATTGTGATAAGTTTCTATGAAAACAAAAGTATTTGGATTTGATATAAAATACATGTTTCTCTTTGAAAATGCATAGTTTATAATTTTATACATTCATTCATTATTAAAGACTTTGTAAGGAAGTACTTACCCCTGATTGATGGCAAGATTTTACCTCGAAAGACCTCTACGTACGCTGGCTAGCACTGCCGTGACGCCTTCGGTCAGTGCCTGTCCGTGCTCACAGCTGCCACCCTAGTGTGCCAGAGGCCCCCTCCCTCCACTTCAGTTTGGCTTCTGTTGTTCTTATGAGACAGCATTTTCCCTAACTACCCCACTTTAAATATTCGGTTATTTTTTCCAGATATTTTAGATTTGGTGTAGAAAAACAATTTCAAAGGTGGCTCACCTTTTAACATCGGAGTTTGCATGTAAATCCACCACTAAGGGCAACGGAGGACCTGCAGTTAATAGTCCCCCCACCCAGCCCCTCATTTGCAAGCAACGACCACAGTCCGCTTGACATTTGCTTTTGATAATCTTGAACCCTTTGGGACCTAGTGTGTATTTTCTTACCCTGAGTTCTTCCATGCATACAGGACTTTGCTATGAAATATTCTGGAAACTTATACTAGGGTATACTAGTTGATCCATAGAGTGTTTAAGTGGCTGACCACAGTCTAGCCATGAATTACAAAAATAGGACTTTTAGGGTGCACCGTAGGGAAACACGCAGTAATGGCATGGTTATACTGTGCGATCCACAGGCCTGACTCATGTTCACAACCGGGGCATTTTTAGTTGCCATAGGAGCCGTGTGCACTGGGAGCTGCCATGTGCTTTCTGGAACATTTGGATTTCATTTGAAGCTTTCTCCTGTTGGGACACTGGGGGATGATCATGTCACGGCCACTGACTCCCAATAAGAATATAAAGAAAGGCCTCAGACTGTAATCTGTCAATTTGGGGATGGATCCCTGAGGGGTAACTCAAACTCAAGAACAGCCAAAAGCCCTTTTTCATTTCTGTCTTGTTACCTATGCCTGAAATAAGGGGTGGTAAGGGATGAATGTTTAACAAGGTGAACAGATTGAAGTAGTTTTTGCTTTCTAGACACACAAAACAGAAACAATTCTATCCCAAAGGCACCCTGCCATCACAGAGAGAAGGCCAATCCCATCCCTGCACTCTGATCCTCAGGCAGAAGCCAGAGCCTGGAAGGATTTCGGCTGAGGCGTTCCTGGTTGGCTGCGGCCTCCATTCTAAAGCAGATGACTCAAGACTTCGGCACCCTCTGCTGGGCCAACTCTCATCTCTGTGCAAGTGACTGGACAGAGAGCCCTAAGCCACTGGGGAGGCAGTGGCAGTGAGTCCTCTCAGTGAGTCTGAAGTGGATCTTCTGTGCTCAGTGTGCTAGGATGGTGCTGAGGGAGACCCTCTCCTCACAGCCAGGAGACAGACCTGACCAGAAGGGACTGGGCACTTTCCCTGGAGGATGATGGTAGCCGCTGCTGAGCAGGATGAGCAAGACAGGGGTGAGCATCCGTGCCCTGGGCAGACTTCAGAGGAGCAGCCAGTAAGCAACCAATGAAGAATGGTTCATTCAACTCTGGCTTTGGAAACGAACCAAGACAACTCTCTGTCCTCTGGGTTAGGGAGAGGAGGACCTTAAAAAAGGACTTAAAACGTGTCCACCAGACAATCTGCACACTGCTGCCAGATGGCTGAAAATGGCAATTGGCTGGGGACTTCTCCTAGACTCTCAAAATTGTCTTCTCTGGGATGCTGGTTTCCTCTTCAGCTAGGGACAGTCAATGCAGATGGAAATGGGAGGCACCTCAGTTTCCCCAACTGTTTTGTCTTTAATGATAGCTCTCTTGCCTTTTTCAGGGGTTGCCATGCTCCACTCTGGCTATTTTTGTTTAATTATATTTTTGGGGAATTGATCCTACTAAGGAAGTCTAACAGTCAGCCTCCAGGATGGCTTTCTGGTGGTCTTGCAGCACGAGGGGTGCTATCTTCGAAGGCTCACAAGTCTATGGATAACGCCATAGAGGCAGGACATAAAAAAGAGGACTACTATTTAATTCTGAACCTTACCTCAAAGTCTAGTTATTTGCTTTGTTCTTGTTCACGATTACTAGGCTCTTTCTACATTGTTTGCCAGTAACACCAGTGCAAATCTATATAACGGGCTGTCTTTCCATCACGTAGGAAAGGGCTAAACCATTCTGCCTCCAAGCACTGAATTACTTAAAATAGAAAGGCATCATTAATAACAATAAAAAATGACCCTGCTAATGAACTAGGTAACAGGTCAATACAGGTTTGTGGGCGTTCCTTCTAGTCCTATGACAAGATTCCTTGTGAGCTTTACTCTGAACTCAGGATGCTCACACTCAGCCTGGCACACAGAGCCCTGGATGAAGTACACTCATACACTGGACAGCCTTTTACTCACTCCCAGTGGGTGCAATTCCAAACTTTGCCAGCACCGGTTAACTTGCATTCAAATGTAAATGTACGAAGTCTGAAAAGCTGGATGCCAGCAGCAAAGTATTCTTCCCCCAAGGAGTCAAAAATTTTAATTTAGAATATTGCTTTAGCTAATTATTCCTGCACTTTACCATCTAGCTGGAGAGAACTCGGCGACCAGCATGGTAGCGGTGGTAAGGGGCACGCTTGGGATGATTACATTTGCACTGAGAAACACAGGTGAGTGTGCTCTTTACTTCTGGATGGAGAACATGGCGGCCTCTTAAGTCACTCTGGACGACAGCCAAGCCAGTCCCTTCTTCCCTCTTCGCAGGTAACAATGGTGCTGGCTCACTGGGTTCAAGACTACTCTGGACTGCCATGGATTGGGAGAGTGACCTTAGCTTTCTACACTAGGTTCTTATGAAGATCAAAGGAAATAATGTCTGAATGAGACACGTCTTACCATAAGGACTGTCCCTATAACATCAGGACTTCAATGTAAGACAGACTTAAAAATAATGTAGCGGCTCCAATGAAAATCTGTTCAACCTCCCAAACCCCCATAACAAAGTTATTATCATTTTGATTTTGTCAAAGATGTGATGGTTTTCTACGTGGAAAAGCTTCCTTTTAAGGGAACGGGCACCCCAAACACCGAATGCCTATTAGTGTGGAAGGACCTTGATGGATCGGAGCTGAAATTTATTTATATATCTATTTTTTAATTTTACAGAGGAACAAGGATACGAGTGGCCTGGGAAGCATGGAGAGAGGGCAGAGGGCTTTGGCATAAGAGGCGCCATGTGTCACCTTAAACTTCAGGGGCACCTGGCGGTCTTCTACAAAGGCACAAGACTGCTTTCCGTTTTGTTTTGCCAGCCCTTCATCACAGTGATCACGGTAGCAGACACAGTAAGAATCAGGATCACAGCTACTTAGTACTTTGGGGTGTAGCCTGGATATGCCAGGAGGCAGCTCTTAGCAGAGCTGGGAAACCACTTAGTATGTCCTGACTAGGGGCAAGGCTAAGAATACGACATGACTATTTTGCCTTCCATGAGAATAATCTCTCAGGATATTGCTCAGACTGTGCCCGCATGTGCATTCTGTGGTGCTCATGGAGGAGCGGGACCTGTCAGCCAAGAAATGTAGGACTGACTTCCATAGCTCCAACTGTGGCACAAGATCCCTCTGGCCCCACGCAGCTTTTCTTTGGTCTCTAGTACTCGCCAAGAATGTGTGTTGGTGGTCAACACTTATTTGTCTCCAGTTGGGATCTAGCAACCTGGCCTGATGTCTGTGGGTTCTGATAGTTAGAACCTCAGTGGGGCTCAGTGTGGGTGTTCCTTATCAGAAGATGTCAGCTGCCTAGTCTAACACCATTTCCACCATTCCCTGGTGTCTTCCTTTGCCCTGGTGTGCGCTGATCGTCTACAGGACTTGTCCAGGCATCCTAAAGCAGCCTCTGTACAGAAGGTTCCATTTGCAGGTGGAATAAGACGCACACGTGGCTGGGCACTCACATGCTACTGGTGGTGCCATCCAAGGGGTGGCAGGACAGACTGGGTGCTGAGCTGCACAGGGCTGCCTCACGCTATGCATTCATTATTCTCACTGAACAGATCTAACCCTTATGTGGAACTGAGGCCGGGCTGGCCTTCTAACCACTTTCTGAGTTACCCAACAAGTGCTCGGCTGTCCTGCTGTGTCTGTAAACTTAGCAAAACCGGACTAGCTTTACGATCACTGAACGCTTGGAAGGAAAAGACGCCTTCTTTAACGGTGTATGGGCTTGAGGACGAGGGGCAGCTTAGATCACAACTCTCTGTGTGGGTCCCTGCTGGGTTCTTATGTCCCATGGGAATACTGCCACCTTCTGCTCACAACCTTGTGTGCCTGGGAGGTTTTCATCGTGAAAAACAAAAGTCAAACAAAGCAGTTACTCTGACGAGGAAATTAATCAGTCGGTGCTGAGAATAAAATCATCTCAAACCCTGACTGGCTACAAGTTCTTTGGGTGTGTATCCTATGAGTCTAGCCATCCCCACCAAATGATACTTGTTCATTAAATGCAGGCATGTAGCTCCAATAGACCAACAAGAAAACTCAACACAATTCACTTCACACTAGAGGGATACTTTTTCCACAGCCTAGGAGTCTATCTGCTAGCATCTCTTCTTATGTTTAAAATATCGAAAGTGAATCGTCACATGTCCTCCCCCCCATGCTCTGAAAACACACTGGTCCTGACAAGGGGAAGTTGCTGCTACATCGATTCTCTTGCAAATAACCTTTTTGCCTGTTCTGCATTCTGACCCTTGCTCAGAGGGTTTAAAAGATACGCATCAAAACACTTGCTTCAAAGAGGCATAGCCCTTGGATTGGTGAACAGGAACTGTGTGCCATATCAACACGTCCTGTCGGTTAAAATACTGCATTTTAAAAAATAAGCTACAATGTATAAAACCAAGGTCATTTCCCACAAAGTGTTCATGTTCTCTGTGATTATAAAACACTGTATCTTGTAAAATATTTCCAGTTCTGATAAACTTGAGAAGTACTAACGCTCATTATAAAAGTGACATGTCTCTTGTAGATGCTGAAGCAGTATATTTCTCTCATTTGGAAATTTAAGTTGTAATTATTATTGTACTTAAGATTATATTTTCTATCACACATTACAATTGTGATTCTCAGACCCACACAACAAAAGTTATAAAACACGAGATTGTCTTAGGAAAACAAGGAGCTATTTACAAAACAGGACAGGAGACGAAACTCTCACTTTGATTGCTTGTCCTGTGGCAGGTACACTCTTTAAAGCAGGTGAATCACTGGAAATGGACCTTTCCAATGTCAGTCATCAGAAGCAAGTCAATCGTGAGTACATTTCGTACTTCCTTGCTCTGTTGGTGTGCGTTACTCAGGACAATCGGTACCTAAAAGTGCTAACCTCACTGAATTGATTAATTTCCCATTTGGCTAAATTTCTACAATGCAGAAAAGACGGGAGGAAATGGTTGCAACATGGAGAAATCCCCACAGGAAGGAGGACAGGGGAGCCTGTGTGCTGCTGGTGGGTTTCTTCCAGAAATAAACTTTCCAGTTGACTCACTAGCATTCCCCCCACGCCGTAAGCCCTGCACCCCCATCCTATCTGCTGTGTTGACAGCTCCCACTGGTGCACCCATTTGTATCTATTCACACAGGCCAATGCTACAGATGATGCGGGTGGTGGAAATCCTAGAGTCCATGGCAGCACGCTCCTCAACCTGCCAGTAGAGCAAAGCACGCGTCTCCACAGCACTCTTTCCCCTAGGGAAGGCTGTGTAGAGAAAATCAACAATTGCCCAAACCAGGAGATTATAACAGGGTACAGCGAGGCTCCTTGTTCACAATTACATTCAGAGAAAGCCTCACCACGTTTACGAATACCCGGCAGGCTCTGCACCGGTGGCTCAAACACCAGTCAGCTTTAGGTCGACTACGAAAAGACAGTGGGTGCATCTGCCACGCCTCGCGAAAGCTGACACTGTCCAGCTGGCATGGATTTGTCTTGAAATGATACTGAGTTCACATGAAAAACAAGTTCTGACAAGAAACATCTTGAGACCACAAAATTCCTCCTAGTCCTGGGGTTCTCCAGATCTGTCTTCGCACATCCTTCCTGCTTCCCTGAGGAAATGAGCAGTGTTACAGTATTCTTCTGCGCAGAGAGACAGTCCTCACCTCGTTCTCGAACCTCCTCCAGCGAGGGCCACCCTTGTTGTGCAGTGCAGTTGAAGTGAGAGAGGAAATGGACTCTTGCCAGGCTGGCTCACTAGGAGCCCAGGGCTTCTGGGGGCAGTGTGATGTGTACTCGGATACCAGAGATGACAGACTTCTGACATCTTGGGGAACAATTCAGTTTCAGAATTTTTTTTTTTGTAACATACATGTGACCATCTCTGAAGAGAGTGCTGTTCTTTTCTGATAGTGCTCACTTGGAGCTTGGTCACAGGAGGCAGGGGATCATCTCCTAAGAAAACCTCTTGGCCATGGAGCTGTCCAGAGTCACTTTAAAGCCCACTCTGCTTTGGAAACCCATGCTTTCTTCCTGACGCTGGCTGTCTTCACTCCACAGAGAAACTTCTGGACAAAAGATGGCGTAAGGGTAAGACTGGACAAAGCAGCTCCTGTCCTATTTCAGACAGTTGCAACAGGCATGGAGAATCCCTAGCTGCTCAGCTCCAAGATGAGCAGGCGGTAGGCGGGCTCAGGTCTCCTGCATTGCCTCCTAGACATACTTGCTACCCTGGGGGTTTGCTGACTTCCACATACAAAGTGTCCATCCTCCGGGAAGGCTGAGGCTGGAAACTGTTGCCTGTCGTGCCCATTGCTTTTGCTTTGTCTGGCTATAGAATGTCCTGTCAATCACTGCAATACCTTCTCAGGGAGAAATGAGAAAGGGACATCACGGAAGAAAAACAATCAGACATCTCCACTGGACAGGAATTCAGGGCGCCACCACTCTTTGTAGACAGGGCTGTTAGCCTGGGCATGCACACAGCTGCAGGCTAGCAGCCAGCTTGCCTGGGATTATGCTTCTCATCCATTCTCTCTTTGCTTCCCCACAAAATGCAGAACAAAAAGAACTTCGCTTCATGGAGATGGCATCAAATGAAAAGTCAGGCTTCATTTGGCACTTCATTTGGTTCCCCAAATAACAAAATAACTACTTAAAAAATGTAACTCATAACAAAATGTAACTCATATAATCAGTAACTGTATGTTGCAATTCAGAGCTTTCTGGTTCCCTGGAGATTGCGCCCTTCCACACAGGGAATGGGCAGCATGTGTGTCCAGAACTGGCCTCAGGATTTGTCTGCACCTGGAAGCCAGACGAGGGCTGGCCTGCAGATGAGAGCCCCAAGGAGGGCTGGCCACGCAGAAGAGCTGGTGTGACGAAGGCTGCAGAGGACACGAGGGACCCAGGCTAGGTGCACCCGGAGTCACGATTCCGCTGACAATGTGCAGTTATGCAGAACTAACTACCCTTGGGCTGTGTCTCTGGGGGAGATGGCCACGACACCTTGCTTAAGGATTGCTCACATGCAGAGAGCATTCCTTCACCCCGAAGTCCTTCAAGAGAAGATGGATTTTGATTAAAGTCTTCATCTGAGATATATGTAAAAAATTCCAGGGACCTTTGCCGAGGAGAAAAATGTCTGCCCTAGGATCTTTATTATTTAAGCACATAGTGAGCTTGATCAGACAGCTGGCCGTGACAATCTCCGTGTGGCTCAGGGCTTCTTGGACCAGCTAGGACATCATTTCACAGCAGAGAGACTACAGGAGATAGGAGATAGGACATACTCGGGAGAAGGGGGAGTGGGGAACACCTTAGCTCTGCATTAAAAAAAAAATGCTGTTTCCTGGTTACAGGTCAAAACATCTAGGAGAGCCAATGTGGCTGATGTCGACTATCAGCCTATGGGGAATCAGATAGAGCACATTTTCTTTTCTCTTGAAATAAATTTTTTTCTTTTAAATACCTGAAGGAACAGATCAGGATCTCTTTCAAGAAATAATCTTGTAAAAAGTCACATGAATTTAAAAAATAAGATTGCCAAAATACATGAAGGCAGAAATTTAGGGTGTTGCGGTGCAGAACCTCCATATGACCCTGACATTAAAAGGGGTCTCTGATTGCTAGATGATTTCTTTCCACTCTGTAAAAAAGCGCTATGTACAATCTTTAAACATATATTAAGCTTTTCTCTGTGCAATTTTACTTAACATTCGTATGGCTGACACCACGCCCCCATCCCAGTGCCTCCTCTAAGGTGCTCTTACTTTGCATAGGTACAGGACATCCAGTTCTTTAAGCAGGGCAGAAGTGTTCTGATGAGGCTTGGTGGCTGCCTGCCACGCTCCACCCCTCAAACGTGCAAGTCCACCAATTTAGACATTCCAATAGAAATTCCAGTGCAAGCCCTGGCCCTACTAAATGGGGAGAGTCCCATACCACGATGCATTTTCCTTTGGGCATCCCGTAAGTTAGTTTCTGAGCAAACTCTTAATTCATCGCTCTAACGTTTTTGTAAGGACTGGTTATCCATCTCTGCCACTCTGTCCACTGACTACCCCCGTGACATGCAAAGCACGCCATGGATAAAAGTGCACTCAGAAGGGAAGTGGATCTGTTGCCCTGGGGGAACGACAGTCACGCTCTGCCTGGAGCAAAGCTGTGAGGCAGTCTGGAGATTTCCACCTGGGCAGGGTTTGGAGGGCAGGATGACAACCCACGGTCCTGGCCACAGTCTTGACAAGACGAAGCCGGGCACACCGCCCCAGCTGCAGTTTGTGTGACATTCCTGAAAGCGTCGAGGCTTACCAGATGGCCCCGGTGCCGGCTCTCGTCTGAGCTGTGGCAGGCACAGAAGTAGCTGGATGACCATTTGGGGGCCAAGGAGACTCCCAGATGCCTTCTGAAGTGGCTCCTGGCGTGCTGGCCTCAGCCTGCATCTGAAGTCTACCTGTGATTCCCACTGCCAGGCACTTTTGGCCAAAGCTACCTGGGCCTCCAAGCTACCATCTTTACAAGGTTTCTCCTTGGGTCCTTCGTGAAAACAAAACAGACACAGAAAAACACAGCCAAACTGCAGCTCTTTCTTCAAACACATCATGATCCAGACTGCTCCAAGCAGCTGGCTGGAAAACAGGGAGGCGCCTATTCACAAGGTAGGTTATCCTTTGTACAAATGCTAGCTAATATTGTGGAGCTTATGACTGTACTGTTTAAGTGTCAAAACCCCTTGAAAATACCACAATTCAGAAAGCTTATCAAAATCTTCCTAGGTAAAATGGGCCTGGTTGGTTAGATTGCTACAGAAGTCCAGTTTTAAGACCAGACAGAGAGTAAGCAAAGTTACTTTTGAAGGAAAAAGTCACTCTTTGCTGCTCTTGTCTGGGCTCTCAGAGCAGTGCAGGAGCTGATTTTTCTTTTTTTCTTTTTTGCTTTAATTCCACCATGGAATTACATTCCCAGAATTGCAGGAAAAGCTTCCCCTGGGCCTTGAATGGCTTCCTTTGGAAGGAGAGGCTTTCTCACCGCCTGTCGTGAGAGTGAGGCAGGGATGGCAGGGCGAGCTGTCTTCCTGGCTCAGTCGATGAAGCGCTGGCATGCCTTCTTCCAGCGGCAGGCGGTGCACCACATGTCCCGGTTTTCCATCCCATAAACCTTGCGGCACTTTTTGCCTTCACCTCTGGGCTTCCTGTAGGACAGACAGCACAGATGTGTTCAGGGACAGGGCCCTCTGGAGGGCGCTCAGAAGAGCGAGGGGGAAAGAGAAAAACAGACACCTGCCGGGCGGAGTAGGAGCTCTCTGTAGGCTGTGTATTTGCCTGGCCGCTGTACTTAAGCAGTTCCTAAACTTAACTCATGGAAATGTCCATCCGGCCATTTTGTAAGGTTAAGGAAGTACACACAATAGTTAGGGACTGGGAAGAAAGCAGCTGCTGTTCTGGCACGAGGAGTAAGTTTGGACCGCCAGAACCTGAGAGCTGAACACGACAGCACGCGCTAGCACTGACACACCACGGCGGGAGGCACGGACAGGGAGATCCCTGCAAGCTCCTGGACCAGCCTGCCTGGCATATGCGGTGGGTGAATGAGACCCTGTCCAAGCAAGGCAGTAGGACCAACCCTTGGATGGCTTCTGACTTTTACCCAGGTGCAACTTGCAGATATGCATACTCACTTGTGTCAGCATGCAGCCACACGTGCACCACACACACACACACACACTCTTCTGCTCCCCCAAATACCCAGCCTCCTGCAAAACAAACAAACAAACAAACAAACAAACAAACAAAGCATGGAATGGCAGGGAGCAACACTGCTCTTTCAAATTTTCAGTGTGCCTTTCTTTCCTTTCTGGTGTTCTGAATTCTGGTTGGAGGCTTCCCAGGAGACTCTCCTGGACCTAGATGCAAACCATAAATTGTCACTCACGTCATACAGAGTTAATGCCGGACAGCGACCACCATCACCTGCCCTACACATGGAAGTGCTCTCTACTAGCTATGAAAGAAAGCACGCTTCATGGGTTGGGGAGAAACCACAAAAGGTCATGGAACCAGGAGGTTTTGGTTCCTTTTTGCTATTTTCCCATTTCCTAGAAAATTCCTTGAGGTGAAGTATGCAGCGTCAAGCAATCGTACCTTAGGCTGACGGTCCCTCTGGGCGGGGAGGACAGGACCGTGTGAGCGTGCTGGCGCTGCTCTCCTGAGCCCGCTGGGTGGTGATGTGTTGGAGACACCTGGTGAACACAAGGAAAATCAGGTTGACAGGACAGACTCTCCCACACGTCTATTAGGCCTCAGTGGTGTGGGCAAGGGTCCGTGTGCAAACAACCATGGAAACGAACTGTTTATTCTCAGCTGCGGGAGTTAAACAGGCAAGGCCAGAGCTCTGGAGCTGGAGGAATAGAGGCTAAGCTGACCAGGTAGGAGGATCCTGCTGATTGATGTCTCACAGTCCCAGACCCCACACAGTACGGGACGTGCACACTCCTGCTGGCAGCCTTTCTCTCATTATTATTATCTTCCAAATGCCCATGGAAAAGCACACGGAAGTTCGGAGCACACAATGGCTTTTCCAGCTCCAAGTTCCACACAGTTCCACACTGCTACCCTCAACACCAACATGGCCAGGGCTACAAGAGCATCGCTCTCTCTCTGCTGCCCCCTGCAGGTGGGTCCAGTTTGTCAGGCTGCAAGCAGCTCACCCACCGGGCGTCTCCTCTGCCCTGCTCTCTACATTTTAATCTTCCTTTTGTGTCTCAAACTTTTGAAAAAGTCTACCTTGAAGTATATTTTACCAAGTACAAAATATACTTTGTAGTACTATGGATGGTATTAGATGCTATTATTTATAAATGAATACAATTATTAGACTATGTGACCACAACATGTTACTTCCAGCGATTTTAAAGAACTCTAAACAATAGATTTAGAAATCACAGCTAATCTCTCCCAGGTAGTGAGATAATTGAGCTATACAGAGCACTTTCTAAACAGGAAGTCTGACTCCATTGTTCCCAGTATAACCGCAGTAAGCGTGAGCATCTCACATTAGCCTCATGCCAGGCACTGTGCTGAGCAACACGAGATTGCTTTAGAAAAGTCATGTGCCTCACATGGGAGCAATCATATGGATTCGTGGTGCCTTTTTGTGTGTGCTTTTGAGAAATTTCCTTGTGATCTTCTCTTTCTCATACTGACTGGAATAATCTCTCAGTAGCATTCACAACCCTGTCTCTAGGCAATAAAAACAAAGCCCAAGCAGTTGCACTAGCTTTCCTGTGACTGGGACAGAAGACGTGACAGGAACAACCCACAGGAGAAGGTTATTCGAGCTCACAGTCCAGAGATTCGCCCACCACGCTGGGCGAGGGCATGGCCTGCTCAGCTTCGGAGTTCACAAGGCAGGCCGGGCTGGAAGCAGACATGAACTTTAGGAGCCTCCAGCATCAACCGCTTCCTCCAGCTAGGCTCTTCCTCCACAAGGTGTCACAACATTCCACACATCACCAGGTGGGGACCGAGTGATGTGCACATGAACCTGTGCGGTATGTCACTTCATATCACTACCCCAAGTGAAGCACGGGCTTTCTACTCACTTCCTCTCACTTTTGGGAACATGTAGCTCAGGTTGGTCTCAAATTTACTATGTGGTTGAGGTTGGCCGTAAACTCTTGATTTTTCTGTCTTTCTCTCTCAAGTGCTGGGACTAGAGGTATATACCCGCACGCCTGGCTTCCCACTTCTCCTAAAATTTTATATTGGAAATTTAAATCCTCAGTCTGGGTGTGTTGAATGATAAACCCTTCAAGGAATCAAGGTGAGATGAGGACACAGGGTGGGGCCCTGATCCAATAGGAGCAGTGTAGTTATAAGAAGAGATGCACGCACGCATGCACACCCCTCAACAAGACTAGATATAAAAGGGCTGGCAGGCATGTGCCCCTTCTCTCTCACTGTTGACCATACACACTGAGGAAAAGCCAAGTGAAGGCAGAGCTCCAATGGCAGATGCCTCCAAACAGGAGAGCCCTCACCAGAAGTAAACAATCAACAGCCTGATGCTGGAGTTGCGGCTTCCAGGAAGTAACCGGCTGCCGATTACACTGCCTACCGTATGCAGTTTTGTTGTGGTAGCTCGAGACAAAGGGACCAAGAGCTCTTAGTTTCCAGTCAAAACGACAGAAAACAGCATTTTGTAGCTGTGAAGAGCAGAGGCCAGCCACCAGGACAAGACAGGAAGGAAAGCAGTGGTAAGGACGGCCCGCTCCGCCTGCACACCCACTCCCCAGCTCAGGCTAGCGAAGGGCAGTGGTGTCTGCACAAGAGTTTCCGCGGCCATACACTGCACTGGCACAGAAGTAAGCAGAAGCCTGCAGCTCTGGGGGCTGCTCTAGGGCTTTCTCTAGGAGTGTCCTCAGGGCTCTCTTCAATACCACATCTCAGGAAAGGCATCTGTGACGCAGGGTGACTACCTATGGGCATCTGTCTCGGAGCACAAAGACAGAAGAAATGTCCATAACACAGAAACCACTGGGTTTGGAATTTTTAGACAGACTCATCCTTAATGTTCTTTATAATTAAAAAATTTGAGAGTTGCGATCTGAAACCATTTCAGAGTAGGGAACTTCAGTCATATTCTTAGGTTCTGCCTGGCTCCCTATTTTCTAGGGGTGAGGGCTAGCCACTGGTTGGCATGAAGTCAGTGGACATGCCAATCCTGTGGCTGTGGGACGGACTGCTCAGAACGCCCACCCACGGGGCAACAGGCCAGCAGGCCTCCGACCCTTTCCTCTTTGAAAGCACCGACAGGGCGCTCAGGAGCATAAAGAATATGATTTGTGCTCCATTCTTGTCTTTCTAGAGTCCAGCAAAGCTTTTAAAAATACACCAGACCCTTAAAATAGGAACGGCAAGTCTGACTGCTACAGTGTTTACATAAGTCTCGGCCAAAGCAGATTACAAACCAGAGAGACTGGAAACTCTCTGGTCTAAGAATAAATCAGGAATGGGGGATGGAGGCCGGGAGAGACTCAGTAGCTTTTAGAGTGCCCGTGGCACAATCATGAGGACCGGAGTGTGGAAGCCAGCACCCCTGTAAAATGGACACAGTGACATCTGTAGCCCTGGTGCTGGGGTGGGGGTGGGGGGCAGGCAGTCCCAGAGCTCAGTAAGCAGCCAGTTTAACTAGGTATGTGAGCTCTACGCATAGAGAGCCTGCCTGGAACAAGAAGGTGCATAAAAATGGAGGAAGACAAGTGGTGTCCACTTCTGTCAGCACACCTGTGCACACGTGTGTATACACGCATATGCATGCATGCACGTGCACACACATATGAATATAAGATGTATAGAAACCACACAAAACCACAAAACAAAATGAAAAGAATAAATGAGAAACAGCCACAGGAGGCAGAATTTCTAGTTAACCCAGACAGTGCGTGTAAGTGCAATCTCGCTGCTAGAATGTCCCTGGAAACTAACACAGAAATGAAATATTTTGTAAATAAATATGTAAGTGAGTAAGTAAATAAAACCAGGAATTCCTTCAGGCCTGGGGTGGTGGCTCCCAAAAGCTGAGCACTGGGTGTTAACTGACAACTCACTGGACCAAAAGACAGGGCTAGTTCAGGGGGGAGGACTGAGACTGAAGGTAGAAACGCTATAGTGTCCACAGAAGTGTTCTAAGATTCAGTGTTGGAAAACAAACACCATAAGGAATCCTGGCTGGCATCCTGAGGAGACATTTAGGAACTGGGAGAACAGACAGCTGGTTAAAACCCAGAATGATCTCTATGACGGTTTAATTTAAAAACAGCCCAGTAGAAGCTACGCATGGTGGAGCCCAAGGCAGGGTAGCAAATTCAACATTTGCCTGGACTGTAGTGTGAATTTAAGTTCAGCCTGAACAATTAAGTAAGATCCTGTATCAAAATAACAACTGGAAAGAGATGTGGCCTCACAGTGGAGCATTTGCCTCGAGCACGAGGCCAGAGTGCGGTGGAAACAGTCTGGACTATCACGGCAGCGGTGAGGACACCGAGGCGCTTCTGTCTCACTCTACCCCTATTTTCACGGCGGATGAGCAGAACGGCCGAGGGCTGGGAAGTCTTCCTACATTACAGCAGAAACCAAGGAGCTGTCAGCGCCGGTCTGACGGTGTCACCCGAGCACACACTCTGGGTGCTAAAACCTACCCTGAACGTGGGGTCCTGTGGCCTGGGCCATACCTCTCTGCTTCAGACTGTGGATACCACATGGCCAGTCACTGCCACACTCCACGCCACCACAGTGGAGAACAAATAAACCCTTCCTTAAGTTACTTTTGTTGTGTATTTGGTCATAGCAATAAGGAAAGTAACTAAATGCGCTAGGCTATCAAAGAAGGCATCCTAGCCCCCCTTTCTGCTGCTATAATAGAATACCCTGGAAAGACTTTATTCTGGTCCACGGTTCAAGGACACACTCCCCTATGATGGGAAAGCCAAGGCAGTGGGAACCTGATGCAGGGACATATCGTGGCCACAATCAGGAAGCAGGGAGTGGTGAATACGCGCACATCTCTTGTTGAGTCCCCGTCATTTATACTGTCTAGATTCTCAGCCAGGAGATGGTGCCAACCATGGTGGGCCAGCTTCCCATTTTTCTTTCTATGTTCTTTTCTGCCTGCCTGCCTCCCCCACCACTATCACCACTACCCCAGTCTTTCCATTCCTATTAACACAAGATAATCTCCCAAAGGTAATTCTAGATCACAGATGGGCTAATGACAAATTGCAAATGGCAAGGCACTCTGGGCCTTTTTATATCTCCCAAGGGAAAGTCCTGAGAGGAAGTGGTTCTAATCCAATGGGAACAGGAGTAGACAAATGTCTATGCTACAAACAAAACTAATGCAAGAGTGTCCATGGTCACTCCCTGAGAATGGTCAGGGGCTACCACTATTCAGCGACTTTAGTAATTATTCCAAGTTTATGGTAGTGTTTAAGAAATCACAGGAATATTTTCCGGAAGCTACCAGTCTCCCAGTGTTGCCAGCAGGAGGCCATTTGCTGTCAGCAATCCCTTTGCTCAGTCTGGTAAATATGCACGAGCAGAGCACAGCACAGAGTGCCCACTTATTCACCCTTAGAACCTGAAACCTCTGGACCTTGCTGGGGCTTGCCAAGGGAGTGCAAGAGGGGTGAGGTAGGGAAGAAAAAATAAGGCTTCAACATCTGCTATCGTTAGCTTAGTTCTGAGCCGCATCGGGAGACACAACCACCATGGAGATGGTGACGGTGCAGGTCAGTCTTGGGGAAAACTAGGTCGGATCCAGAATGTTTTAAAATGAACTGTGAGGAGCCAAGTAAATCCACAGTGATTTGGCAGTATCATTTAACAAGAGTTAATTTTTATTTAGCATCTAAATAGGGCTGCACTTTTAGCGTTCATTTACTTTATTTTTGCTTAGTCTTTCAAAGAAAAAAGTGATTTCAATTTATTTAACTTTTGGATCTTCAAATGGCATACCCCCACGACAATATATCAAACTAACAAGATTTATGGAGAGATTTGTGGGAATCTCTGCAGGAACCTCTGTAGGAAGTGTGGGTCAAACTGCTCACTCTACATCTTTGGAGATGCACAAAGCGCAGCCCAGCATCACCAGCTAACACTGTCTTCTGGCTTCCTAAGGTAGCAGGCAAAGCATCTTTTCCCAGAGATGCTGCGCCCAGCTGAATTACAACAGCCTGTCCACGAATCTACAAGTGTCAATTCAGAACAATATACCTGGGATTGGAGAGACGGCTCAGTCATTAAGAGCACTGGTTGCTCTTCCAGAGAGGACCTGGGTTTGATTCCCAGCACCCACATGGAGGCTCACATCCATCTGTAACTCCAGTTCCAGGGGATCTGACACCCTCTTCTGGTCTCTACAGGCACTGCATGCATGTGGCGCACAGACATACAAGCAAGCAAAACACTCATACAGATAAAATGAAAAATAAAGCAGTTTTAAAAAAGAAGGAAGCACGTGCCTCTGGAAATAGATGTGATGGCGTGTACCTGTAATACCTGCATTCATGGGGTGGGGGCAGGAGTTAAAGGCCACCCTCGACTACATGGAGTCCAGGGCTAACGGTGGTGGTGCTCTGGAGCACCAGCTCCATCTTTCTCATGTCTGCCCCACAGTCTACTCTCTCAGTGTCCGTTTGGCTCAGCTCACCTTGCCATGCTTCGGTACTTACGGGAATGCCGGTGAACGTAACCGGAGGAGACTGCCAGGAAATGCTGAAATTGCTGCCGTTGGGGGTGAACTTAGACCCCGGAATAGTCACCGGGGGCGTGGCCTGTGAGACAGGAAGCAGAGAAGGCTGTAGTAAAGACTGAGTGTCCAGGGTCTTGGCCCTCATTACCAAAGCTGGGCTGCAGGGACAGGTAGGGCAGCCCCCGTAACGTATGCTAGCAGGCGGAGACTCAACAGGGCCATAGAGGAGCCAGAAACAAGTCTTTCATATACATACAAGCAATCTCCTATATGCTTATATAGAAGCAATCTTACACATAGGCCTCAACCTACTTGAGAAAATGGATACAACGATATTTGCTGCACAAGCGTGTATTCTGAACATGCTCAGAGACTTGGCCAGTGACGTGGTTTACCAGGAAATGATGCCTACTGACAAGCCTGAAGATCTGAGTTCGATCCTTAGGACCACAGAGTGGAAGGTCCTATGACCTCTACATGTACAGTGTGTCAAATGTGTGTGCAGACACATGTATACAAAAGAAATGAAAAAGTTTAATAAAGAATTTAAAAGCCTTAAAATTGATCAAATAGACACAATGGAGATGACAGAAGTCAAGTCTGTATATAAAGTGACTGCATCTATCTTCTCCAGGTTTACTTGTTTTTGTTTTTGAATTACAAATATTCCAGCTAGTTACAGTAGTTGTGTTATCTGGCACCACTGGGAAACACATTGGCAGTAGATAGAAATGTCCACAAACCCTTCGTTCATGTTCTAGGTCACTCAATAATGAAAGGGCACTACTGAGAATTACAATGGAAGACAAGAAAGCTACAGGCAGAGAACGTGTGTAGTAGCCCCCTTCACCCCGCTTTTCTTGTTTTTTAATTTTTTTTTAAAAGACAGGATCTCATGTGACCTAGACTAGCCTCAAACTTGTTACAATCCTGAGGCTGTCTCCACCTCTCAAGTGTTGGGATTAAAGGCATGCAACACCATGCTCAGCTCCATGTGGTCATGACAATGGAAAACCATGGCAGTCGGTCACATAAACTATCAGAATGATTAAAATGATTATTTCAATTTAATTAAGTGGATACTATACAATTATTTGGATTTTTTTATAAAATAGGTAGGGGAATATAATTTCAAAAATGCAGGGAAGATTTTTATGAAGTTGCCTAAGATACCCCAATTGTTAGGGTAGCCATGGCCTGTGTTAGGAAGATTTATTTCTAAGTCCCTAGGCTTCTGGAGTCCCAGCTATGGCCCAGTAGGTTGGTGTGGATAGTGTTCAAAGAATTTCCATTGAAACAACTTCTACAGGGTGCTGGCACTGTTGAACTGGGAAGACTAGCAGCCACCGGAGAGGGCTAGCTACCTACTTGGAAGTGCAGATGCTGAAACCCCAGCTACCCAGCTACGCAGTAAGCTCTATCACTGCTCCAAAGCTTGCCAAGCAAGGCTAAACTTTTCATTCACTTCAGTTTTTATTAAAAATGTTAAATTAGCCGGGCATGGTGGCGCACACTTTTAGCCCCAGCACTTGGGAGGCAGAGGCAGGTGGATCTTTGTGAGTTTGAGGCCAGTGTACTCTAGTGAATTCCAGAACAGCCAGGGATATTGTCTCAAACAAAACAAAACAAAACAAATGACACTTTTAAATGAAATGTATTTCCTGTGGCCATGTGTATGGCATGGGGGCCAGAAGACAATTTCCAGACGTTCTCTCCTTATACCATGTAGGTCCTGGGGACTGAGCGACTCCTTAGGCTCAGGGCAAGCCTTACACACTGGCTTGTCTCTTCCTGGTCTTTTCACTTTACCTTTGGAGACAGGGCCTCACTAAATAGCTCTGACTGACCCGGAACTTAATATTGTAAATCAGGCTGGCATCAAACTCAGAGATTCCCCTACTCAAAGGAGTATGCCACTGGTTTTGGCTTAATTTTCACATATCAGATGCTTGTAAGCTCTGCCAGTCACCACTCTGAGGGCTTTTCGTGGCTAAGGAGTTTTATCCTTTTAACAGCTCCTAAGGGACTGAGCCCAGCTGGTCGTGACTGTCCCCCAGCGGTGCTGAAGACTGGCAAAGGAGCAAGCACTCTAGGACTAAGCGCACCCCAACCCCTCTGCTTTCCCTTTTAACACCCAGGAAGGTCACGGATGTGCCCTATCATCTTTGCAAGCTTCAAACTTCTGATCCTCCTGTGTCAGGCTCCTGAGTAACCAAGAGCACAGCCCTGGGCTACCGGACCCTTCTTGCTGTTGTTTGGCTTTAGAGACCTAGTCTCAACTATGTAGGTCAGGCTGCCCTTAAATTCTATAGCCCAGTTCTGGCCTCAAATTCATGATCCTCCTGCCTCAGCCTCTTGAGTGCTGGGATTAAAGGCATGATCCACCACTTACGACTTGAGATCATGAATAAGACTTTAAAAAGATAGAAAAACCAACTAAATTACTGGTTGCCATGTATGGTGCTGTGTTTTATTGAGTTCTCTTGCAGTTCCAGGCTGGGGAGGGGGAGCTACTGCTTTGGACAGGACCCGAGCGCGTTACCTGGTAAGCATGGTCCGTGTGCACGAGGTAGAGGGTGGTGGGGGCTGAGCGGCTCAGCGGTGTCATCGGTTTGGGGTCTGTTTTGGCACAAGACGCTTCTGTTCGGCTGCAGTCTGGGACAGGAAACGCAGGAGGTGAGGTCAGGGACTGCGAGGGCGAAACCGGGGCCAGGCCGCTCAGGCCCTCGGACATCGCGTCCGTGTTGAGCTTGATCTCCGTGTAGTAGAAATCCTCCTCCCCATCACTGTAGTCGGAGTCCCCAGCACGCCTAGGGAGGAGAGAGCACAGCTCAGCCATCTGTCCATCTGCCTCCATCTTGGGCAGACCACTCCTTCAAACTGGAACACTCTCCTCTCTGTTGGCCTGGGAGCCGCTATATTTACCCTGCAGCACGCAGCTACCCCCTTTGAGGGAGGTCTCTCTGCTATTATTTAATTGTACCCACCACCAACACTGTTGGCTAGTAACGTGATTTCCAAACTCTTATGCTAATGGTGTTAGGAAAAATCAAGAGGATGCGGGCGTGATGGTACCAGTGGCTCCGAAAGGAGAAGACAGTGAGTAGATTTGGTTTGTCTGACCGTATCAAATTCACCAGATGCAGAACATCTAGGTGTCTACATTAATGCCAGAGATCCAGCATTCAGAACCACGAGCCAAATAAACTTTCACTCCTTTCACAGAAACAGAAAATAGAGAAAGACTTCTTAGAGCAATCTTTCTACCACCCACCCACTCATCCATCCATCCATCCACCCACCCACTTACCCACCCACTCACCCACTCACCCACCCATCCATCCACCCACCCACTCATCCATCCATCCACCCATCCATCCACCGATCTGTCCACTGTTCATCCACCTACCTATCTATCCATCCACTGTCATTCACATTCCTGCCTATCCATCCATTTACTTGTCTGAGAATCATTTATTTGAATATATTACATATAAAACAGCCCACCTCCTAACAGGAACAAAACACAGACTCTGCTTTGACGGAAATTTTTATTTTTGTTTTGTTTGGTTTTGGTTTTTCGAGACAGAGTTTCTCTGTGTAGCCTTGGCTGTCCTGGAACTAACTCTGTGTGTAGACCAGGCTGGCCTCCAACTCAGAGTGCTGCCTGTCTCTGCCTCCTGAGTGGGTGCTGCGATTAAAGGAGGGCGCCACCACCGCCAGGCTTGATGGAGCTTCTATAGTCTAGAGGTAGACAAGAAATCCCTAACACACAGACATTTAATAAGAGGCTTTGCTAAGTCCCAGTAAAAAAGATAAAGCAATACTTGAGAGTCCTTAATTAAGATTAGTGGTTGGGGGGTACTGAGCTTTACATAGGCTGCTCAGGTAAGCAGACACCTGTGGAGGAAGCCCAGAGCCTTCACTAAGAAACATCTCCCACAAGCTCATGTATTGGAAAGAGCTGCTCCCCAGCTGGAGGTGCTATGTGGAAGGTGATATAACTTTTAGGAAGTGTGGGAGAAGTCTATCACCAGAAGAGGCCTGGAGGGTTGAGAGGCCATCCACTGCCTGCTGCTCTCTCTGCTTCCCGCTCCTTGGCTCCTACTCCATGCCTTCTTCTGCATTTCGGACTCTAGCCCTCTGGAGCTGTAAGCTAAGAGCTGCTTCCTTCTGTGAACTGCTTTGGGCACAGAGCCTCCTCACAGTGACGGAAAAGCAACTAACACAGCAGGGCTGGGACTCTGAAAGGGAGGCGGAAGCAGGCTCAGGTGGGGCCGCTGTGGCCTCAGTGATGGCTCTGGTATCTGGAGTTTATTCTGGAGGTTACCAAAACCCCTAGGAATTTTAGGAAATGGACATTATTTTTAACAGACCACCATAGTTTTTGTCTGAAAGTTGAAAAAGTTGGGAAAGGACAGGAGAAAAGGCCTGGAGGTGGATGCTGCCATCTGTAATCTTGAAGCGCATCAGCAGGGGTGAGGAATGAGGGATGAGAAACCACAGTCTAGATGCATCTTAAAGTTGGGGCTCAGGGCTCACCTGTTAGCCTTGTATATTTCCTTCAAAGTAAATTTGTCCTTTGAGTTAATGCCTTGCTGTATTTTGGCAACTTTTTTTTTATTTTTTTGGGTTTTGTGTGTATCTGTGTGCTGAGATTCAAACTCAGGCCTCACTGACAAAGGAGTATGAAAAGTAATTCCTCTGGTCAAGAGAATGAAACCCTCAGTCTGCACCCAGACTGAGGACTAGAGCGAACCTAGTCCAAGTCAGGCTGGTCAATCAGGAATCACCCCCTAGGAAGGTACAATCACCCCAAACAAGGAAGGTTCACTTCCTTGAGCCACGTTTAGGACATAAATGGAATAATTATTCCTTTGAAGATTTTCCTTCCTTTCTCTTCTTTCCCCTTCCTTTTTTTTTTTTTCCCAGAAATAGGGCCTCTTTACATATTTACATAGCCTCAGCTGTCCTGGAATGCATGATGTAGACCAGGCTGGCCTCAAACTCATAGAGATCTGCTTGCCTCTGCCTCCTGAGTTCTGGAGTTCAAAGCATGCACTACCACATGCAGCCTTCTTATGAAACACTGTACCTTTCCTTCCCAGAATTCCTACTTGGGAGCTCAGTCCTTACAAGCCAAGGTCTGCTGGGTCTGACCACCTTTCCGAATCCTGACTTTTCCCTGTCTCATTCATTAGATGTAGAAACTAAGTATGCTCTCTCTGGTACAGACTCACACTTCCTCTAGAGCCCCCTCCTCCCTATGTGGCTGCCTGCACCCAGGTGGCTGTCCTCTATGCCAATTTAACTCAAATGACAGGTTTCTGTTTTCTAATCCTTCTCCATTCTTTCTCTAGGCAGCTGCTGAGATTCACAACTTGCCTGTCCTGGGCTCTTTTAAACTCTAATGACACTGTCCTCAAGCTTCCAGTGAGTGTGTTTTAAATTATTCTAATAATGAAACTTAGACCCCAAGAGGGGACCTTGATTTCCCGGCGTCAGTACTTATTCAGAACACCCCTCACTGAGCCATCTCTCCAGCCCTGTTTGTGGGCTCTGAAAGCCTTTGTCTCCTCACTATGACTATAATTCCCCAGGGCTGTCTTTTGCTGATCTCTGCACCACTCTACAAACAACCCGCACATGTGGCACTGCGTAGGCACCTACCGAATCCAGCACAAGTGAGTGATGCACAGGCTGCTGTGGCATGGTGGCTAAGACCATACTTTCTGGAACTGGATTTTTCAGGCTCAGAATGTGAGGATTCAGTGTGATTCTGGCAGCCCAACATGGTCTCATGCCTTGCCTTGTGTCTTAATTTATAACATGCGATTACAAGAACACGTCTTTGTTTACGACGGAGAAACCGTAGAGAGCTTGTTACTCTACCTGAGGCGGAAGCGCTGCTGAGTGTTTGGTAAATAAGCACAGGAACTAAGATCTAACGCCTCCCTGGCCTGCCCACAAGACTATTATCCAGGGCCTTAACTAAGCTCCAAAGCCTCCCTCACCAGGCCCACTAGGAGACTATTACCCAGGGCCTTTAAACTTCTCTACATGGAAGAAAATTGTGCTTTCTCACAGAACGTTTTGAGTTAAGTAACTGTTATGACTCAATATTTACCAGCCTTGCAAATTTCCCAAGAACTAAGTCCCCAGAACCTGACTCTCTGGAATGGCTGAGAGCAAAGGGCATCCCTCAGTTCACGGGCACTCGTGGTAGCAGCCAGAGCGAGGGGCATCCCTCAGTCCATGGGCACCCATGGCAGCAGCCAGAGCGAGGGACATCGCTCAGTCCACGGGCACCAGTGGCAGCATGGCAGAGCTGGCTAACTGAAAACTTGTTTCCCCCTGAGTCATCCCTGTATAGACCTAAAATAAAGTGTTCTCCTCCAGCCTCTGGCTTGGCCAAATCAGTGGCTTCTCACAGCCTCGCTCCATTTCCTCTATGTCTCAGAGCGCTGGCACCTGGGGACATACCTCTGCGCCATATCAGGTCAGGTGGGGCTTGGCTTTCTGACAGGCATGCCACTGAGGACTCCAGAGAGGGGGACAAGGGCTGAGTGCCTGTTCCATTCCTGTCCCTGCTTCCTTTCCAGTCACAGGCAGGCTGAGCTGAGGCTGGCTGCCAAGTGCTACTAATAGACACTCAGACCTGAGGGAAATCATGAATTTTCCAGGGGGACAGAAGAGGATCAGCCTCTGAAGACTGGGGGCTGAGGAGAGGCTGAGAAACAGAGAGAAGAAAACCATGCACTTAAGTCTGCGTGGTGTGTCTGAACTTTCACCAGATGCAGGACCTGTTGGTTTTGGGTGGGGTTGACATGCCTCCCCGGCCACTGCTTACTAACACGCCCAGTATCCAACAGAGGCACAACTGGGCTCGAGGAGTAAGGGGAAAGCCTGGGTTCCTCACAGTCTGAGAAAGCACAAGCTGGGGGCTTGAGGTCCTATAACCTTCAGGAGGTCCTTTCCTGGGCAATGACTCAACGGTGAGCTACAATTTACGGTGATTGAGTATGCTGGTTAAAGGGGTCCTAAGGAAGTCAACAAGTGGCTGATCCAGGAACGCTGCCCCCTCTAGGAATGCAAACTGTGCATGCTCTCGCAGTCTCTAAATACATATTCACGGAGCACATGTGGCTGCTTAGCAGGGCTTGTTGGCAAGTTCTCTGCTGGCATCTGGGGACGTGTCTGCGCCATATCAGCCAGGTAGGGCTTGGCTTTCTGCCAGGCATGCCACTGAGGACCCCAGAGGGGAGACAAGGGATGAGTGCCTGTTCTATTCCCGAGCTGTTCTATTGCTCTGAGCTATTTCTGCCAGTCTAAGCAGTGAGATCTGAGGGCAGACAGTGCAGGGCTGCAGGGGGTAGGGGAGGGGGGCACTGCAGTACTGGGACATTTCCTGAACATGCAGGCAGAGCCTTCAGCTAGGGTAACACAGCCTGGGCTCACTTGGCTATATTCCTGATGCGTGGTGACCTTATGGGCATCTGCTTTACAAAGCTTTGGTGTGTCCCAAACATCTGTCTGAAGACTTAGGGAGCCAGTTCCGTGCTGTTCTTCACAGCCACCGATGGGGCCGCGGGCTGCAGCAACCGCGGAATTCTTACTGTCCACCTACACTTTTCACACAGCACACACTTCCTGCGTGTGCTCCCTTCTGGCTAAGGTGACTCTTATTTCTCCACATTCATTTTGTTTGATACAAGAACCCTTCCTTCTGTGTTGAGCACTCAAGCATACTCAGATGCTGACATTAGCCTTTTGCACATTGGTGACAACTATGGTCATGGGGCATCCCTTCTAAAGCCCAGATACTTGGACAAGACAGAGCCAGGATGAAAGCATGGCCGGTAAACCCCAGGGCCGATGGCTGTAGGCCTAGCTGTGGGCTCCTAATCTCAGCTGTGTCTGTCTGTAGGAAGGTTCTTATGAAGAAAACAGGCTCATCTGGGCAACAGACTGAGTCTGACCACCACATCTGGCTTTATCGTTGAAGGTGTGATGACTTTTTCCCTTTTGCCTTTGGGGGTGGGGAGTGGTTCATTCTGAGACTCTCTTAAAGAGACAGTAGCTTTTGAGGTTCTAAGTCAGGAAAACCATACACTGCAAAAATAATGAACGCTTGGACGTTTCATCTTACAGATACCAGGGGCTCAAGGACTCTCGGAAGTGTGCTCACCGCCCAGGGGAGGAGCTTTATACTCTGTGTCTTTGCACAGCCTGTCTTTGACCCCAGAGATAACAGACTTGAGTACTCATTTTTAGTGGGCCTAAGCATCCGAGTGAGGACCTGAGTCAATGACCCAGGAAAGAGATCAGGGAGGGGACTGAGTGGCCAGGGATCAGGAGCCTGAGGCACAGTGCAGTGCACGCTGTCTGAGAGCTGAGCTGCTGGGGTCGTGCTGCGAGGCCACCCCAGCTCCAAGGGGAGGAGTGGGCTACCTTACCCGAGGTGGATGGCCCGGATGTGCTTCTGGATGCCTGCTGCTGTGTTCAGCACCTTGCCACAGTTTTTCCAAAGGCATTTGAACATCACCTTCATGGAGTTCTACAGAAAGGGGAGGAAACAATGTCACAATGCACGCAAACCGTCCAGAGTCACCCTCTTGTCACCCCTGACCATTTCCCCTTCATTAGGAACTTAACAGTGCCATGTTCTTGATGAGCGGCTGGTGACGAGCTTCAGAAGCTCCGACTCCTTCCATTTCTTAATGGGAACCAGGCTTTGCTGCTTGTTTTAATCACATTCCCAGAGGCCCCCATGGGCATTGGGGCCACCCTAGCAGTGGCTAATATTGACTAAATGCTTAGTAGGGTAATGCATTTAATTCCCCAAGATGGATGTTACTAGGGGTCTCCATGTTACAGAGAGTTGCAGTGAACCAAGGAGCAGAGCTGGAATCTGCTCCAGAAGCCAGCCTTCACCCCAGCACACAATCACACAGCGTTCTTCAATGAGGGCTTAGCATTTTCAAGAACTCCCAGTACAGTGACTGAGCCACCACGTGGACTTGTCCTGTCAACCACAGTGCTTTTGATTACAAAACAGGAATAGTAATGGAACTCCTTATAGATGACCATGGTGCCTTAGTGACATCATGGGCAGGAACCAGCTGACTCACTCAGAGGCAACCACTCATTACAGCACATGCCAAGGAAGTATTGTCACCACGCGTCCTGAACTGCATTTTTAAATTTTTGCAGTGCTTGGGGCGGGACTCAGGTGCTTGCACATGCTAGGCAAGTGCCCTGCCACTGCCCCCCTGCGGCAGCTCGAGTGGAAATAATCCTGCAGACACAAGGGACTGGCACTAAGGAAGGTGTGGCCTTGTGGAAGGAGAGGTGTCGCTGTGGGTGGGCTTTGATGTTGCAGAGGTTCAAGCCAGGACAGTGTCTCAGTCTCTCTTCCTGCTGCCTGCTGACCTAGATGCAGAACTCTCAGCCCCGTCTCCAGTGCTACATCTTCCTGCATGCTGCCATGCTCCCACCGTGATGATAATGGACTAAACCTCTGGACTGCAAGCCAGCTCCAATGAAATGTTGTCCTTTATAAGAGTTGCCATGGTCATGGTGTCTCTTCACAGCAATAGAAACCTTAAGACGACTACATTCCCCAGGTCCCCTGGAATGAAGTCTTATTTAGTTTATATATGCATACGTATGCGTGCATGTTTATGAAGGTACGGTGGTTTGAATGATAACGGCTCCCATAGCATCATCTATTTGAATGCTTAGTCACCAGGGAAGACTTGGGAGGTGTGGGCTTCTTAGAGAAAGTGTGTTGCTAAGAGTGGGATCTGAGGTTTCAGAAGCCCACACCAGGCTTCGTCTTCTCCGCCTATGGGTCAAGATGTAGGATTCTCAGCCATCTCTTCAACACCATGCCCGCCTGCATGCTGCCATGCTCCTGCCATGATGATCATGGAATAACCTCTGAAACTGTAAGCCAGCCCCAATCAAATGCCTTCTCTTGTAAGAGTTGTGAGGCCACAGTATCTCTTCACAGCGGTAGAACAGTGACTAAGACAGAGGATATAAGCCACGCTGTACATATGGAGGTCAGAGGTCAGTTAGCTTTTTCCTTTTACCCTGAAGGTCCTGGGAGTCAAATGCATGTCCTCAGGCGGGTGGCCAAGTGTCCTTACCTGCAGAGTCATGCCCACTGCTGGAGACGCAGTCTCAGTACAATTGAAACACTCAGATTAATTTGTAGCTCTTTGTGTCAGTCATGCAACATGCAGAAAAACTCAATTTGGGATAGTTTATCAATAGCAAGAAGGTTTTTTTGTGTGTGCATAGATTTACTGTGTGTGGGGACATGGGTGTGTGCATATGGAGACGCGCATGTAGAGGCCAGGAGATAACTCAGGCATCACCCACCTTATCTTTTGATGCAAGATCTCTCACTAACTTAGAACTTTCCAAGCAGCTGGCCAAGGAGCACCAGGAACTGCCTGTATTCACCTCCGCAGCACTGGGGTTACAATGCGAGCCACTGAGCCTAGCTCTCTTACACCTTTATTTCCATCTGGGGGTTCGAGCTAAAGTCCTCTCAAGCATTTCACCAACTGAGCACCTTTTCAGCCCAGTACATAGTTTCTGAACACATGATGACCAAATTAATTCAATATCAAATGCACAAAGATTCTGGTGTTGCTGTATTACCTAACTCCTGTGTGGGCTTTGTTCTCAACACATCCTCTGTACGACATAGCAGTCATTCCTCCCAACGCCAACAGACATACCTAACACCTTATTTCAGATTACTATGTTATGAATTGCGTGTTTACTGTATGCAAAGTTTTCTGATGTCATAGAAATATAAATGGTTTAATCATGTAAAACAAAAATTTCCTATTCTCGTTCCTCAGCATGTATCAAATTACTTTATCTTTGAATTATAGTGTATTAAAGCATTGGATTTGAAAACTGTCTGCCTTCCAAGTTCATATTCTATACATAAAGATGAGAGCAGCTCTCAGACCTCAGGGAGTTTACTTGTGCAGTTGATGGCAGTCAGTGTAGAAACTGACAATGGGTCAAAGTTCAGAGAAGTGTCTGTGGCACTCAGTCCAACATGGGGCATCTATATCACACCCTACCCCATGCCAGTCAGGGATCGTCTCTGAAGCAGGAGGGGAAAGACTGCAAGAGCCAGAGACTGGCGAGGACCACAGCAAAACAATGTCTTCCAGACATGATGAGACAACTGCACCCATGAAGTCAGAGCTGTTGTCGTTGCTGTACAAGACCCGCACAAGTCAGAGCAGCCAACACTCCACCACGAGTGGTCCCTAGCTCTGGCAGAGAAGCTACGGACAGCTGGTGGCTGCTGCGGAGGGAAAGGCTCCACGTCCATGCAAACTTGAGCAGCATTATTAGCTCATAAAAAAGGAAGGAAAAGGAGGGAAAAAGACAAAAGCTTCTGAGTGACGGGATCTAGCTCAGACCAAGCCGTCAAGGCATGAGCTTCTTGGGGAACTGTCAAGTAGAGGGTGAGAGGCTTCCCATTCCAACTATAATACACATGCAAAAAGGTATTCAGTATACTAATCTTTAGGTTAATCTTAAAGTTGGAATGGGGATTAAATTAATCCCTGTGGTGGTAAGAATGAAAATGTCCTCCACAGGCTCAGATGTTTGGATACTCGGTCCCAGTTGATAGAGCTGCTAGGTAGGTTCAGGAGACGCGCTTTGCTGGAGGAAGTATGTCACTGGGGAAGGGTTCTGAGACTTCAAAGCCTGGTGCCATTCCAAGTGTGCTCTCTCTGCTTTATTCTTGTGGTTTAAGATGTAAACTCCCAGCTTCTTGATCCTGCCTTTGCTTCAGTATCATGACTCTCTGGAGCCAGAAGCTCAAATAAACTCTTTCTTCCATGAACTGCCTTAGCCATGGTATTTTATCACAGCAGCAGACAGGCAGCTGACACCATCCATGTACACCGAGTATA